ACAACTGGCCAGGAAGGGGTGTGATACCACCCCTTCTTGGGGTCCTGGTAAGAGGTGAGCCGCTGGTGTAAAACCCACCCAGCTGGTGACCACAAACACCAGGGAGCACCTGAAGGTGGCCAGTTAAATGCCTAAAGGAATACACAATTCCATGGGACTGCACCTTCCTCACTCACCCCACCATTGCCACCAAGCTGATGGGGGAGGGCATGGGGAGGTTCCCTGCCAGTCTCTAAACAGTGGCTGAAACGCTCCCCCAATCAGCGCAACAGGATCTCAGCCACCAGCTGTGTCAAAGAATTGGACAATGGAAATGTAAGAATTGGAACGTTCAAAATCCGCATGACTATCTTGTGTAGTGCAGAGGCACAGCGTGGGGGCATGGGGTGGAGGAACCTCATGTTAATTTTTACCATTTTTTTGCCAGCACTTCTGTTGAAGTGCCTCGCTCCAGCTGAGATTGATTTATTTACAAACCCATGCACTCCTCCTGGATTTTATACCTGCTTAATTCAGAAAGAAGACATGCCGATAATGGCTCAAGGGAAAACCCAAAATAGACCTCTGACTGTAAGTTCGAGTAGTCACTGATCAGCAGATGCCTTGCTTAGCGTGACATTTCTGAAGTTCCCTTCAGTCACCACATGAAATTATTTCGACTATATTTATCTTGTGTAGCTCTCAATGCCTTTCTTGTCTAAATGTTGACTGATCTAGCCATTAGCTACAGTCATTTTTCACATCACTGTTTCTCTGTTGGGCCTGATCTTGTGATCAGCTCGAATAGACTGACGGGCTTCAGATTGAGTGAATACGCTGGGAAGATACTGGCCTAGTGGTAATGTCACTGGGTCGTATCCTAGACTAACTCTCTGGGGATGTATGTTCAAATCCCACTGTAACAGCCAAGGGAACTTAAACATAGTAAATAAACCTGGAATGAAGGGCTCTTGTGGTGCAATAGTACAGTCCCTACCTCTGAGCTAGGAGACAAAGGCTCAAGTCCCACCTGATCCAGGGGTATGTAATAATATCCTGAATGGGTTGATTCGGAAAATATCTAAATCTGGAGCTAATCTCACTCATGGCGATCATGAATCTATTATCGATTATTGTCAAAACCCATCTGGTTCACTAATGCCCTTCATGGAAGGAAATCTGCCATCCTCACCTGATCTGGCCTACATGTGACTTTAGACTCACAGGGTGACCCTTAACTGCCCCCTGAAATGGCCTGGCAAGCCATTCACTTCTATCAATCTCCTGGCAAAGAAATGAAACTGGACGGATCACCTGGCATCGACCTAGGCACTGGAAAAGACAACAGCAGAAACAGCCCTGTCGACCCTGTAAAGTCCTCCTCACTAATATCTGGGAGCTAATGCCAAAACTGGGAGAGCTGTCTCACAGACTAGTCATGCAGCGGCCTGACATAGTCATACTCACAGAATCATTCCTTACAGACAATTTCCCAGACACCACCATCACCATCCCTGTCCCACCGGCAGGACAGACCCAGCAGAGGGGGTGGCACAGTGGGATACAGTCAGGACGGAGTCGCTCTGTGAGTCCTCAACATTGACTCCGGACGCCATGAAGTCTCATGGCTTCAGGTTAAACATGGGCAAGGAAACCTTCTACTGATTACCATGTACCATCCTCCCTCAGCTGATGAATCAGTAGAACAACACTTGGAGGAAGGACTGAGCATGGCAAGGGCACAAAATGTGCTCTGGGTGGGGGATTTCAATGTCCAACACCAAGAGTGTCTCGGCAGCAGTATTACTGATCGAGCTGGTCGGGTCCTAAAGGACAGAGCTGCTAGACTGGGTCTGCGGCAGGTGGTGAGGGAACCAACAAGAGGGAAAAACATACTTGACCTCATCCTTACCAATCTGCCAGCTGCAGTTATATCTGTCCATGACAGTATCGGTAAGAGTGACCATTCCACGGTCCTTCTGGTGATGAAGTCCCACCTTCACATTGAGAATAACCTCCATCGTGTTGTGTGGCACTATCACCTTGCTAAATGGGGCAGATTTCACACAGATCTACCAACTCAAGACTCGGCATCCATGAGGCGCTGTGGGCCATCAACAGCAGCAGAATTGTACTCCAGCGCAATCTGTAACCTCATGGCCCGGCATATCCCCCACTCAACCATTACCATCAAACCAGGGGATCAACCCTGGTTCAATGGAGAGTGCAGGAGGACATGGCAGGAGCAGCACCAGGCTTACTGAAGATGAGATATCAGCCTGGCGAAGCTACCAAACAGGACTACTTGCACGCCATAGTGATAGACAGAGCTAAGCAATCCCACAACAAACGGATTGCCAACCAGGCAAGAAGAGACAATCTAACCACTGCCCTTTGACATTCAACGGTGTTACCATTACCGGGCTCCCCACTATCAACATCATAGGGATTAGCATTGACCAGAAACTCAACTGGACTTGCCATATAAACACAGTTGCTACAAGAGCAGGTCAGAAGCTAGGAATACTGCGGAGAGTAACTCAACTCCAGTCTCTCCAAAGTCTGTCCAGCAGCTACAAGGCATGAGTCAGGAATGTGATGGAATACTGCCACTTGCCTGGATGGTTACAGCTCCAACAGTACTCAAAAAGCTTGACACCATCCAAAACAAAGCAGCCTGCTTGATTGGCACCACATTCACAAGCATCCATTCCATCCACCACCAACTCTCAGTAGCAGCAGTGTGTACTATCTACAAGATGCGCTGCAGAAATTCACGAAAGATCCTCACACAGCACCTTCCAAACCCACTACCACATCCATCTAAAAGGACAAGAGCAGCAGATACATGGGAACACCACCACCTTCAAGTTCCCCTCCAAGTCACTCACCATCCTGACTTGGAAATAAATCATTGTTCCTTCTTTGTTGCTGGATCGAAATCTTGGAATTTCCTCCCTAAGGGTATTGTGGGTCTACATACATCACATGAACTGCAGCAGTTCATGAAGACAACTCACCACCACCTTCTCAAGGGGCAACTAGGGACGGGCAATAAATGCTGGCCCAGCCAGTAACACCCAGGTCTCACTAGGTGAGTAAAAAAAAGACCCACAGCAATGTGGTTCATCCTTAACTGTCCTCCAAAAAGGCCCAGCAGCCACTCAGTTCAAGGATAATTAAAGATGGACAACAAATGCTGGTCATGCCAACAGTCAATAGATTCCATGAAAGAACAAGGGGTAGAAAAAAAGTTTGTGGATGTTCAACTTGACAGTTAAAATATTTACTCATGGTAGCAAAACCTCACAAAGTTTTCTGATGTACTTGTAAGCAGTTTGGTCTTATTAACACACAGAGGCCAAGGCCTACCATGTCAAGTGAATGTGAATGTCAGCTTAAAGAATGCATAAGACAAAGAGGCAGAAATAGGCCATTTCGCCCATCGAGTCTGCTTCACCAATGTGATCATGGCTGATGTGATCATCTTCAAGTCCACCTTCCTGCCTTTTCCCCATAACCCTCAATTCTCTTTCTGAGTAAACCTCTCTCTCTATCTCAGCCTTGAGTATGTTTGATGACCCAGCCTCGATAGCCCTCTATGATAAGAGAGAGAGGGACCAGAGAGTGGATAGACAGAAGAGAGAAGACTGCAAGAAATGTTAAAGAGGAGGAAGACAGAGGAGAGGAGTGGAAATGGTAGACCATATGAGGGAGAGAAAAACACAGAAAAATGGAGGGAGGGAGGGAAGTGGATAGACAGATGAGGGAGGATAATTCCACAGATTCACTACCTACTGAGTGAAGAAATTCCTACTCATTTCTATTTTGAATTGAACCTGGATGCTAAATCATCCAATTGGCCCAGCATTGAGGTACTCTGTGACCTACATTAGCTCCCAGTTCAGCAGCACTTGAATTTCAAAACTCTTATCCTTCCTTTCAAAACTATCCATGACTTCATGCTGCACCTGCCTTGTCTCCATCAGCAAGGCTGAGGAGCTTTGGGAGGAGGGACATATCCTTTCCAGGAACACTGTGTGTTCCTCCTGCCCCAAAGCCATGGCAGTATTAGTGTGTGTCTATTGTTTTAGTATTTTAATTGCCCTTCTTTAGGAGAAAAGGGAGTTTCTCCAGCCTGGAAACCTCCCAGTCAGGGTCCGTTTGATGAGTCAATGCTACGTGCTCAGTGCCAGACCCAGACGTGAATCCCTGGAATTTTGCAGTTGCTGGGAGTCTGACGAAATCTCCTGGGCAATCTGAGGGTGTTGCAGTGTGACTGTATCTCTATACAGTTTGCAGCTATTTGGAGATGATATGAAACAGTCAAACGAAATCTGCAGACTCGCACATCAATCAGTTGGAACGTGATGGTAGCAGACAGCTGTATTAAGACCATTAGATGTAGGAACAGAATCAGGCCATTCTGCCCATCGGGTCTGCTCCACCATCCAATCATAAGTGATATGTTTCTCAACCCCATTCTCCGCCTACTCTCCGTAACTCTTCATCCTTTACTAATCAAGAACCCATCTATGGCTGTGTTGAATACACTCAATGATTAGTCCACACAGCCCTCTGCAGCAATGTGTTCCTTAGATTTACCACCCTCTGGCTGAAGAAATTCCTCCTCATCTCAGTTCTAAATGGTCACCCCTTCGCTCTGAAACTGTGCCCTCAGGTCCTGGTCTCTCCTACTAGTAGAAACATCTTCTCCACATCCACTCTGTCCAGGCCTCTCAGTATTCTGTAAGTTTCAATCAGATTACACCTTATCCTTCCAAACTCCATTGAGGACAGACCCAGAGTTCTCAAGCACTCCTCATTTGACAAGCCCATCATCCCCGGGATCAATCTTGGAAACCTCCCCTGGACTCCTTCCAAGCCAGCACATGCTTCCTTAGATATGGGGCCCAAAACTGCCCAAACACAGTCTGACCGGAGCCTCAGCAGTACATCTCTGCTCTTATATTCTAGCTGCCTGGAAATGAACGCTGGTGTTGTGTAATTAGAAGCCTTACCCGATTTGCCTGCCAAGTGGCCTCGTCCCAGAGGAAAGGACTGGCGAGGATGCAGCATTGCTCTCCCCCTGACAGATGCTGACTGAAGAATTAATCTTCCCTGGCTGCTGCTCTGCAAATGAGCCTTTCCATCTTTGTCGAGCTGCTCTGTCCTTGTAAACGCCTGAGAGCTCTGAAGGTACCTGCAGGTTTAGAAATGCATTTCCTGTCACAGAAGCTATAGCACGACAGCCCGCGCTGTGTGTAGGTTGCTGCAGCCTCCCAATCCGCTCACGGTCTCTCTGACGACCAGGGAACCGGAGCTTCCTCCGGCTCAGTTTGGCCAAGAAAGGTAGGCCGATCTCTCCCAAACAGACTGTCCCCATCTCCCCTTCAATGCTTCTGGGCAGCTGCTGCCCCCTGCCCCAGCAAGTCCACTCGCTTCAGAAATCCAGCATCACACCCTGCTAGCCCTCGGGGAGATGTTGAGAGAGAGAGAGAGGGACCAGAGAGTGGATAGACAGAAGAGAGAAGACTGCAAGAAATGTAAAAGAGGAGGAAGACAGAGGAGAGGAGTGGAAATGGTAGACCACATGAGGGAGGGAAGAAAAAACAATAAAGTTGAGGGAAGGAGGGAAGGGGATAGACAAATGAAGGAGGATAACAACAGAAAACAAAACAAGGAGAGAAACCAAACTCAACAGAATGGGCCCTTTAGTTGCACACTGAAGGGTATTATAATTTTTAAAAGACATTTGGCTAGGTACATGGATAGGAAAGGCCCAGGGGGATATGGGCCAGGTAAATTAGACTAGTTTAGTTTGGGAAACTTGGCTGGCATGGATAAGTTGGACTGAAAGGTCTGTTTCTGTGCTGTATGAATCTATGACTCTATTAGAACTAGAGTCTAGGTAGGAAGGCCTCTGGCAAGGTGCCCCAGCTCAGACTCTGGACAGGCACAGAGTGAGTGTGGTCCTTACACTGCATCCTACACACATCCTTGTAGCCGATCAAATACTATCCCCCCATTTCTGAAACTGCTTCCAGTGGGGACATTACATTCTCTCCTGGGAAAACACAAAGAAACATATGAATTAAGAGCGGCCTGCTCCACTATTCAATAAGAGCATGGCTGATCTCGTTCAGGAATCTCAGCTCCACTTTCCTATCTGGCCCTCCAATAAACCATTACTGCCCTTGTCTGTCAAACTTCTACCTAATTCAGCCTTTAATGCATTCAATGATCCAGCTACATCATCTCATCTAGCAAAATAATTCCACAGACTAATGATTATCTGAGAGCAAAAAACATTCTCTTCAGATAACAAGGTGTAGAGCTGGATGAACACAGCAGGCCAAGCAGGATCAGAGGAGCAGGAAGGCTGACGTTTCAGGCCTAGACTCTTCTTCAGAAAACATTCTCTTCATCTCTGTCTTAAAAGTAAAACCCTTATTGTTAAACTGTGTCCTCCTAGTTCTAGACTTTCCCAGAAGGAGAGACACCCTTTAGAATCCATCCTATTGAATCCCCTCAGGATCCATATGTTTCAAAAAGATCATCTCTCATTCTTCAACACATCAAATGATACAGAACTCACCTGCTCAATCATCCCTCATAAAATAAGCTCTTCATCACAGAATGAAGTGGGTGAACTTTATCTGAACTGCTTCTAACAGAGATATATAAATAAGGAGACTGAAACTGCACAGCATTCCAGATGTGTTCTTACCAATGTCCTGTCGAGCTACAGTACGATTTCTGTACTCTTGCAGCCTATTTCCCTTGCAATAAATGTCAACTTTTCACTCGCCTTCCTGCTAACTTGCTATAGCTGTGCACTAACTTTATGTACTTCATAAACCAGAACACTTAGACCGCTCTGTACTTCCGAGTTCTCCAATCTCTCTCCACTTAGACAGGACACTGTTCTATTCTTCCTGCCAAAGCATGCAAGTTCATGTGTGAATGTGAGCCAATGTTCATTTCTGATTCATCACACTCTTCAAACAATTTCCCAGTATCAGAACAGATTTAACAAAAGTCCAACAATGTTGACGCCAGACGCACAGTGGAGAATTGTGATGAAACATTATGAAAATCTAAACTCTCCAGAGCTGGAAAGAGGCTTAAAAAGGAACCCACGAGAGATTTATAAAATATTAAATGGTAAAGAAAAGGTCAGCATGAAATGTTACTGGAAGATGGTTGATTCCATTTGAGAAAGATAACGTTAAAGTGAACTTGAAAAAAAATGTAGTTAGCCCCAAAGGGAGATAAATATTTGATCTGAGGCAGTGAAATGCGAGATTAGAGAATTTTGAGATCCAATGCCCTGTTTGAGGAACTGAGATGAAAAAATGAAGATTGACCTTTCTTCACACTTAACTTTTGAATGTTCGGAAGAGAATCTCAACAAATCAATCTCAATCCAAAAACAAAAACATTGCAGGAAAGCATTCCACAGGGAGGGTCAAGACAGTGAGGAATTGACTAACTGAATGATAAACCAATTAGTGCAAACCAATTAATCTAATCCAATTTAACTCATCAAACTTAAAATGGTGGTCTTTCAGGTTTGTCTTGTCTAGTATCATAAATAAAATGTGGATGTTAGGGCTCTTGAGGTACAGTGGTAGTGTCCCCATTTCTGAGCCTGGTTCGAGTCCCACCTGCTCCAGAGGTGTATAAGAATGTTTCTGAACAGATTGATTAGAAACTAAACTAAAACGTGGAAGTTGAATGAGGAATGACAAGATCATTAACTACAGACATCCACTAGCACTTATCCTTCACTGCTTTGTATCGTCTTGCTATCGCTCCAAGTTGCTGACAAGTTCAATCGCAAACTGCCCAGCTTCAGGTCAGTAACTTTAATCCATTGTGCGGATGCAGGACATGCCAATGGAGTACTTGTCCCCTCTTTAAACTTTCATTCTGCCCTTCCCCTTTTCTGTATTCCTCTTTCACTCTGTTTGGCCATGGCATTTGCAATTTCTGGTCTGACATCCAGGTGGCAGTCTTGTGTTGGTTCCTGGACTTTGGCCTCATTGTGTTCAAATGGAATCAGTCAAAACAGGGAACTGTGGATTGGCCATTCCTTATTTAGAGCCTGAAGTTATTCTTCTCCCCGGAATTATTATGCTGGGGCATCTCAACACCAACTAGAACACTATCACCTTCAACATTTACTCCCTCTACCAACCGACGCTCGGTAGCAGCAGTGTGTACTATCTTAGAAGGCACACTGCAGCAATTCACCAAAGATCCTTAGATGGCACCTTCCAAACCCATGACCTTTAGCCCTTAGAAAGACAAATGCGACAGGCACATATGAAAACCATCACTTGCAAAGTCCCCTCCAAGTCTCTCACCATCCAGATTTGGAACTAAATTGCTGTTCCTTCATTGATTTTATAAAAGATGTGGAACTTGTTACCACTGAAGGTGATTGAGGACAATGGTCTGGATGTAATCAAGAGGAAGCCAGGTAGACATTTGAAGAAAAATGAATACAAGGTTATGGGGAGAGAGTGTTGAGGTAGGATGGGAAAAGCCTTGATTACAGTATTAACAGAGATATGGGCTGGCTGTGGTGAAGGGCCTCTTTCTGCTCTGTACGTACTGTGTCATTCTATATAATTAGGCTTTATTTTGGTGAGCTCCTTTCCAATCACAAACAAACAGAACCATAGAAACATGAAAAATAGGACCAGGAGTAGGCCATTCAGCCCTTCAAGCCTGCTCCACCATTCAATATGATTGGGGCTGATCATCCATCTCAGTCCCCTGTTCCTGCTTTCTCTCCATACCCTTTGATCCCTTTAGACCCAACAACTATATCTAACTCCTTCTTGAAAACATTCAATATTTTTTCTTGATCGCTTTCTGTGGCAAAGAATTCCACAGGCTCACCAGTCTCTGGATGAAGACATTTCTCCTCATGACTGTCCTAAATGGCCAGCCCTGTATCTTTAGACTGTGACCCCTGGTTTTGGACATCCCAGTCATCAGGAACATCCTTCATGCATTTACCCTGACTATTCCTGTTAGAATTTTGTAAGTTTCGACGAGATCCCCTCCTCATTCCTCTAAAGTCCAGGTAACTGATCCAATCTCTCTTCATCCCGTCATCCCAGGGATCGGTTTGAGAAATGATAGGTTTGCAGCATGAGCTGATGTTCCCACCCATAGTTCATAGATAAGAAAGACTTTCTTTTCCACAATACCATTCACAACCTTCAGATGTCCCAATGTTGGCTTTCTAGCCAAGTCATTGCTTTTAGAAGTTTCATCACTGGTGTACTGTAGGGAACGCAGCAGCCAATTTGTATACAGCACACTCCCACAAACAGCAATAAATAATAACGAACCAATCTGCTTATTGTTTTGAGGAATAAACACTGGCCCCAGGACACTGGGGAGAACTCCCACTGGCTCTTCTTCTGCACCAGCTGGGATCAAGCCCTCAATATAACCTCTGAGCCCAAAGACGGCATCTCTGACAGTGCAGCATCTGAGTGCCAGCTTTGCTATTCACGTTCACCACCCTAGGATTTGGAAGCATTTATTGACTGAGTTACTCCCAAACCTTGCACAGTTAAAATAAATGGTTTGTCCTACCTTTTAGAGGACAGGAATGCATCTAATGTTAGCAATAATTATCATAGCTGGGCTAGAACATACATAGAGGGCTAATAAATATGAAAGGTGAAAACAATGCAGTCAATCCTGGGATTTGACAACTGCAAGTAGCACCAATCAAGCAGAAAAATAAACCCACCGTTATACAAAAGCCAATGTTCTTACTTCAAAGGCGGATACTGAGTCCCACTGCGCTTTGGTTGCCTGGTGAGATTGCTTCTTTCAGGCTGCAAATGAACTGCACTCTGTAACACAATCAGTAGAATCGACTGATTAGAACGAGAAGGTAATTACTCTGAAGAAACCTCAACGAGGCGGGAGACCTGGGATTTCACTGAAGGTGAAAATTGAGTTCCTTTTTGCTTATCGAGAGGATGTCTTTTGTGAGAATCAACATGAATGCAAGTACAAAGCTAGTTCTGTGTCCAACTAACAGCCCTAACAAAGATAGGGAGATTTATCTGCATTAAAAATCTTGTAAAAGCAACAAATTGTATTTATACGTTAACACTATTTATGACATGTCTTCACCACATCTGTTATAAAACAGGCGAGATTTCAATTCCACATTTTCTTGTCAATTGAATGAATACTGCACAAGTTGCCATGGAGGGACATATGGAGATATGTGAGGAGGTGGCCAAAAGCTTTGTTAGGTGGTACATTTCAAGAGCCTTAAAGGTAGAGAAAGATAAATATTGGTCCTGGGACACCAGAGAGTCAGCTCATCTTCCACAACCTTCAACTGCCTTCTCCCACATGAACTCCACAGAAACAGCAGATTTAAGTCTAAGCAGGAGATAATAATCACTGGACAGTGATACCATACCAACCTCAGTATGGGTCTTGTCAAGCTCAAAGACTGTGACAACCAATGTTATACAATGACCCATCATTCTCACCAGTGCCTTCAATTATGACTCTATATATAACACAACTGTTATACCATTTGTTAAAGCTAGGGCCTAGTGCTAATGTTACCGGGTTAGTACAACACAGGGCGTTGATTGGCTGGATAGGTGTTTTACAATGTAGAATGATGCCAACAGTATGCATTCAATTCCTGCACTGACTAAGGTTACCGTGAAGGACTCTCAGCCTCTCCATTTGCTTGAGATGTAGTGACCCTCAGGTTTAACTCTCCATCAGTCCTCTCTCTCTGTCTCCCTAATGAAAGAGAAGCCAAATGGTCCAGCGGGATTATGACAACTGTATTTTTAGCAGACCGCAGCAAAAGTCTCAAAAACAAAGTTGCTGGAAAAGCTCAGCAGGTCTGGCAGCATCTGTGAAGGAAAAAACAGAGTGAACGTTTCGGGTCCGGTGACCCTTCCTCAGAAAAGGTCTCAGTGTTCTGGAGACGTAGGTTCGAATCCCTGGACAGAAGCTTGTGGAATGTTAATTTAGTCAACATAAAAAAAATGGGGATCTGATAATTTGCCTCAGTGGAGACCACAAAATTAGCACTATCACTGTCACCCTCTGGTTCACCATTATGTTTTAGGGAAGGAACTTGGCTTACATGTGACTCCAGACCCACTGCCATGTGATTGACTCTTCAATACCCTCTGAAGTAGCCCTGGCCAGCTGCTCAATTCAAAGGTAATTTGGGATGAGCAAAAAAAAAACACCAGTGACGCAGAATAAATCTTCCTTTTGGAAAAAAATAATTGCAACAGTTACAGCATGTCAAGCCAACAAGATGCATTAGGTTAAAGGAAAAAAATACCTCACAGCCCTCATGATTGGCACTTCATTTGTAAAATAAAATTGAACTGCTCCTTCGCTTGCCACAGTCACACTTGGAAGCTGAATCCTGATTATGTTCCAGACAGGGAGTACACTGCTTTTCACCTCAAGCCTTTAACAAGCAGTCAGCTATGGTGTGTCACTGGTCTTTCCATACTAATTCCTCCTGAATTCTCACTTATTAGACTGTCTTCATTTGGTTCAGGCAGACTGCAGAGCCACAACTCAATTTCCAAGCACAAGTTTGATGTTGACATTGAGCAGTTTTTATGCATTGCAAATGCATTGAATTCAAATTAGATCTGCCCTTTAATTTTAGCAACTAGAATTGAATAAGTGATTACACTGTCACGTTATTCCTTGTGTCTTCTTCCACATTCTCTCATCATTACTAAACAGAGGAGCTCTGGCAGCATCTTGTCTCTTCAGCAGGTATGCACCTTCAGACAGGGAGTTTCCTTGCATTCATGTGAAGTTCGTGGGGGGTGGGGGTGAAGGCATGCTAAGGTGCTTCACTGGAACAGTTGTCAAAAAGACAACATGGACACTGTTAGGAATTAATAGGAGCTGGTCACTGGGATGGTTTTCCAGGAGCATCTTAAAGCCAGAGAGCATGGAAATTCAAGAGTTTTGCAGCCAAAAGGGATGTAGGTACCACAGCAACAATAAGGCGAGGGGACTGTGGGATGGAAAAGAGGCCAGAGTGGTCGGACTCAGAGTTCATACAATCCCTGCAGTATGGAAGCAGGCCATTCAGTCCATCGAGTCCACACTAACTCTCCAAAGTGCATCCCATAACCCTAAGCTTTCCCTGTAACCCTGCATTTCACATGGCTAATCCACCAAGCCTGCACATCCCTGGAACTACGGGGCAATCTAGCACAGCTAATCCACCCTAACCTGCACATCTTTGGACTGTGGGAGGAAACCTGGAGGAAACCCATGCAGACATGGGGAGAATGTGCAAACTCCACACAGACAGTCACCTGAGGCTGGAACTGAAGCTGGGTCCCTGGCGATGTGAGGCAGCAGTGTTAACCACTGAGTCACCCTCAAGTTCTTGGAAGGTTGTATGGCTGAAGGAGATTCAGAGGAGTATTTTCATGATGCATCTGGGGTTAATACAAAATCATTCTGATTCACATCACTGTGCTTTCTCCATGGCCATTCTCCTTGAAAATACAGAACAAAGAATGGTGGTCAGCAGTGAAGTAATTGTTAAATCCTGGGCTCAAGGAAACTGTAAAACGTGAGAAAGATAGGGTAGAGTGTCCAAAGGACATCGACAAGTTGGTTGAGGGAGCGGACAGGTGTTAGATTACAGAGAAATGTGAAATGATTTGTGGTGGTAGGAAGACCATGAAGAGACTAAATAAGATAAAAAATGGTGCAGCTTTAAATGGAGTGCAAGAGCAGAGGGACCTAGGTTATATATGCATTAGTAATTGAAATTTGCAGGGCAAGTTGAAAGAGTAGTTATTAAAGTGTACAGTATCCTGGGCTTTACCAACAGAGGCACAGAACACAAGAGCAGGGATGTCACATTGACCTTGTATAAGAAACTAGTTCAGGCTGAATGGGTACATTGTGTATAGTTCTGGGGACCACGTTGAAGGAAGGATGTGAAGGCATCAGAAGAGAGTGGAGTCAAGATTCATGAACATGGTTCCAGGGATGGGCACCTTCAGTTATGAGATTGATTGGAGAGGATAGGATTGTTTCCCTCAGATAGGAGAAGGCTAACAGAAGAATTGATAAAGATTTTCAAAATCATGAAGGGTCTGGGCTGGAATAGAATAGAGCAGCCTTTACTGTCACATATACTCAATGAGTATAGTGAAAAGTTTATACGTTGCCAAATACAGCACTGATTTAAATACAAAAGTACTTTGGCTCAGCTTCTTTTGTGACAAGATGTGTTAGAGAAATAAAATGTCCAGTATTACAGAAAGGAGTTCAGCACAACAGACCACATTGTTATTTAGCTTCCAGCCCGCACCGGGTCCTGGCTCCACAACGCACTGGTGAAATGCCACACTTGGAGGCCACTGTGCCAGGGCAGAAGGTCACCACACCGCACCAGGAGGGCCCTACAGGAGGCTGCTGTGCCAGGGCTGGAGGTGTGCAGACACTGAGCTAGGATGGTAACATGGTGCAGTGAGCTGGGATGGTCACACGATGCACTGAGCTGGGATGGTCACACGGTGCAGTGAACTCGGATGGTCACACGGTGCAGTGAGCTGGGATGGTCACACGGTGCAGTGAGCTGGGATGGTCACACGGTTCACTGAGCTGGGATGGTCACACGGTTCACTGAGCTGGGACGGTCACACTGTGCACTGAGCTGGGACGGTCACACTGTGCACTGAGCTGGGACGGTCACACTGTGCAGTGAGCTGGGACGGTCACACTGTGCACTGAGCTGGGACGGTCACACGGTGCAGTGAGCTGGGACGGTCACATGGTGCACTGAGCTGGGACGGTCACATGGTTCACTGAGCTGGGACGGTCACACTGTGCAGTGAGCTGGGACGGTCACACTGTGCAGTGAGCTGGGATGGTCACACGGTGCAGTGAGCTGGGATGGTCACATGCTGAGCTGTATCTAAAGCTGTGCCTTACCCAGCAGTGAGTCTTGTGTCATCCCAGGGGTTCTAGCAAACTCATCCATTTACTGACCATTATACATTATGGTGATGCTATAATCTAGCTCATTAGTACAGTTCATTCCATGCTCCCACCTTAGAGTCTTAATGAATGTGATTTATACATCAGCATGCCATTAGCAGATACGTTCTCACCTAGACCATCATTCCATTATTTTCCAATGTATTTTTGCCCTTCATCAAGTCCCACTGTGTCTTCAATGAATTCAGCATTGCCCCACTCTGCCGCGGTGCACATGGCCTTCAATTACTCGAGCTAAAATTACTGGCTCATTGTTAATAGCCACATAACTGATGGGCAGGTGATAAAACTAAGCACCAGAGATAACAAGGTGTAGAGCCAAGAAGCGTCTAGGCCCGAAACGTCAGCCTTCCTGCTCCTCTGATGCTGCTTGGCCTGCTGTGTTCATCCAGCTCTACACCTTGTTATCTCAGATTCTCCAGCATCTGCAGTTCCTACTATTACTAAGCACCAAGCAGCATCAGAGGAGCAGGAATGTTGACATTTCCGGTTGGGACCCTTCTTCAGAAATGGGGGAGGGGTAAGGGAGCTCAGAAATAAATAGAGAGGAGGGGTGGGGCTTTGGAAGATAGACACCCCACCCCTCTCTCTCTATTTATTTCTGAGCTCCCTTCCCCCTCTTCCATTTCTGAAGAAGGGTCCTGACCCGAAATGTGAACTTTCCTGCTCCTCTGATGCTGCCTGGCCCGCTATGTTCCTCCAGCTCCACGCTGTGTTATCTCTGACTCCAGCATCGGCAGTTCTTATTATCTCTTACTAAGCACCATCATTGTATGGAGATAACCAAGTGTTGAAACCATCTATTCTCAGA